CATAGCGGCGGGACCGGGACCGGGACCCGGACCCGGACCCGGACCCGGACCCGGACCCGGACCCGGACTCGGACCGGCCGCGGCCCGGGCTCGCCCTGAGGGGAGCGGCCGGGCAAACTGCACTGCTTGCCAGGCTGCAGGTTAAGCGGGAAGCGTGCAGCCTAGGAGAGGAAATGGGCTGCCTGTACCCTAAGTACTAGTACTGAGAAGCAAAGTTACCTTCTTCATCCTGTTCTCTAGTTTATTATCTGTACCATTTTTTATGCTGCATCTCCTTTAGCCAAAGAAATAAATAAAAAAGATGGTGATGCACCAGCAGCTGAAGCCTGGAAGAGTATTTAATATGCATGCTTGTATAGATATGTAGTATAACAAGTTTAAATGCGCATAATGAACTCCAAATAAATAGAGCAGGGCAGCCCCTGCGGGTGCACTCGCTTTTCGAAGCGCCGGCTCTGCACAGAATCAATGAAGGTTTCACATGGGTTCAACTTGGGGTGCATGTCCGGGTGCTCAGCGCAGTGAGCACGCACGCACAGGGCAGAATCCCCTCCTTGAGAGCTAGTACAAAGGGAACATCCTAAAACTGCTGGTCTGGGTTTCTAATACACAGAACTGGGGCTTGAAAATCCGGGCTGAGACTGATTAGATCCATGTTTAAGCCTAGAGACGTTGGTGGGGGCTGCTGACAAGAAGCATGGCAAGCTGTGAGCCGGCAGCTCCAGGAGGGCATGCTGGAAAGGGCAGCGGGCACCAGGAGCGCCTGAGTGCTTAAGTACAAGGAAGTAGAGGCGGGTCGCAGAAAAGCAGAGTGTGCCTTGGTGAAACGTGGGGGAGGAGAGCTGCGCTGCCGCAGGCCTTGGCCACGTGGGCCACGCTGTGCCCCTGCTGCAGCCCGTGCAGGTCCCTCCTGCTCCTCGCACCGGGCGCTGCAGCGCAGAGGCGCCTGGTCCCGGGACGTGCCGGGCACAAAGCCACCAGGCAGCGGCAAGGAGATGGGGAAATCCCGAGCCTTTCAGTTCTGCCCTCGCTGCTCAGGGAGCTCTCAAGGCCTGAGCAGGAGGAATAGGCCAGGGCTGCCGCTGTGCCGCCAGCGGGATGGCCTCCACTCCCTGCCTGTGTCTGTGTTCCCGGGAGAGGCCGTTCCCGGTGGTTGGCCGAGCGGTGTGGGCAGCGGGCAGTGCCAGCGAGGCCCTGGTCAGGGTGCTGGGTGCGCAGGTGCCTTTATTGGGGCGGGTGTGAGAGCACGCTGCTCCAGCAGCGGCGCACGGCGTCGGCGGGCGGGCCGTGCGCGCCGGGAGGCCAGAAGAGTCCCAGGCGGCCCTGGCGCACACCCAGCAGCACGTGGAGGCGCAGGCTGCGGCCGGAGGCGGCGGCCAGGCGCAGGCGGCAGGCGCGC